AATGTGTCTTTTTTCCTTCAAGGCGGTATGGGTGTTTTTCTTCTATTTTGAGTCCTGTCCAGCTTCATTTCCAAAGAAACTTGTCGTTCACGAAGAGAATTCCTCAATACCATTGTTAAAAGTGACGATTAGGGGTGAGGCAGTGGCTTAAGTTCATGTAGGTTTTTACTTTAGACCGTTATGCTGTTGTGCCAGACAAATAACTACTTTACATCTCTGTTTTGACTTTTTAACACATGATAACATTTCTGATATCTTACCATAAAACCAATTCTGAATTGTATGTTTTGGCAAAAATTATGATCTATGCCATTACAATGATATGGTCTATATATGTTCGAGCCATCCACTGACCTGTGTAGAGATTTTGTATTGATCTTGTCACGACATCATCTTGTCACGACACATGTTGTGAGAAGATCAATACAAAATAGTTAGATGTCTCTGAACCCCTGGGCCATAAAGGGACCGCCTTATGACCAGTCAGGGCTGCTGGGGCACATATTCCTTGGATGATAGCTAGAAGTCCTGACAAGCCCATGAAAGAAGTTCGAGCCGTCGTCTGACTGCTGCGTGGTAAAGCACTTTCTCCATTTGCGACACTGTTCCCAAGAACCTGAATGTGGGACATTAGCTTAATTAGGGGCAGGAGGAGACTGTTCCTATTGGTGTCTGTGTAACTCTTGTGGCTTCCCTGGGCAGGGAACTCAGATAATCCTGCTTCTGTAGAAGGACAGTGCCTGGCCAGGGCTGAGCCCTGCATGACAGTTCTGAGCACCTATCAAGTAAGGCCAGGTCCTCCTGCCACCCCTGCCCCTCTGGCCCCACCCTTCTTTCTTACAGTGACATAGAGAGCCTCCCACTCGCTTCTGTTCTTTGCCCTGTTAAGTCGGGGAGCAGAGAGAACTGAAAAATTTATACATGTTGAAAATCACCTTTGCTAAGTTTGATCATATCTGTGACTTTACACCCCCCTCCCCCCACAGATACTTCTACTGTGGATTGATTAGATCTTTCACCTTTCTTAATGTAAAGACATATTTCTTCCCACTTGGTTTTATTTGCCTCTGCTCTTTACTATTGACAAAGAAGTCAGCTTTTAGTCAATGTTCCCTTCCTACCGTGTACCCCAGCAGTCAGGAACATGAGTGACGAGTTACAGGTTGGTATACTCGGTATAAAGGAACACCCGTACCTTTCCATCCTAGCATCTCCTACCTGCTGTCTAGGAAAATGCTGAGAAGAAATCATTCAGGGAGTAGAATGGTTTGCTATCTTTGACAGGCTTTCCTGTTCCTAGTGAAGTAACACCTTACAGCACCCCTATGGCCTGCAGGACTCCATCGTGGTACTGGGCTCCGCCAGCATGGTTGGCCTGTCAGAACGGTCCTTGCTGGTGCTTGCTGCATGTGTGCTTGCTGCATGTGTGCTTGCTGCATTTGTGTGTGTGTGTGTGAACCCTCCGCAGGTCGGGCTCTTTTGGAACAGCATGTGGCAGTAGTTTGGAAAAATGGGCCTGGGTTTGAATACAGTTCCCTTTTTGTGTGACTGTGAGTAGATTTCCTTCTCTCTGAATTTCATCGTTGAAGATATATTCCGTAGGGGTGTGGACGAGATTCTGTGAGGGTGTGGGGTTTCTGCGCAGTGCCCTGTTCACCATGATTCCTTTTCTCCCGTGCCTGTGCCAGGCCAATCCCAGCATTTCTCAGCACAGCTCGAGTTAGTGCAGCATATGGTTTATTTCAATGGCTCTAAGTATGATTTTAAGATACTATCAGTTGTGTAAAATGAAATAGAAAAGTATATAGAAGTATTCTAAAGTCTAATCCATCTGTTCTTCAAAGCAAGGCATTTGTTGTATTCAAATATTTTCTTAAGTTGTAACGTAATATCATTAGCCTTTTGAAATATATTGAACTTCTTAAAAACTGGCTGTTGTCAAGATGATTTTCAGGCAGAACTTTAGATTTTACGGTATGATCATTAGAAGGTCATATGAGCACCCAGATTATAACATTATTTTATTTTTAGTTTGATAGTCTGTGTAGAACAACACTAAGATTTGCAAGTGTAGGTTCTGTGTAGTCTCAGGTGGCATAGACAGTGGTGGTTTAGCTCTCCAGTGTCAGTAGAGAGGCATGTCCCTTCCTAACGCACAGCCTCCCTGCTCAGCTCTTCTGGTGCACACTCCTTGGGGCCGACCCCACACTCACTAGGGACAGGGGACTGGGGCAGGGGGGCTGCATGTCTACTAAGCATTCCAGGTGTGTCTCACTCTTAGCAACAGGTGAGAATCTTTGCTGCTGTTCGTGTCATATAAAAACCAAGCAAGGTTTGTGCCATTATTGTCATATACTGTTAGGCCATGATTAAGTCATTTAGTGTCCCCTGCATTTCCCCATCGTATTTGTCAGGGCAGTTACAGAGCAGCCAGTGTATAGATTCACATCCTGATCAGCACACACTCAACCAGTCACTGACTGGGTCCAGCCTCCTGAGACTTTATCCTATTGCCAATCCCTCTTAGCCCTCCAGGAGCTGCTTTCTCTTTGCTCTGAGCTCTCTAAATGCCTGGGAACATGGATGTGATGGAATACCTTTTCATGTCAGGTGTATGTTGTCCTGGGCTGGAAGGGCCCATCGTGTGACCAGGATTGAGGAGCTGGAACTAGGCTCTGAGGTGTCACCACCTGGGGTAGGACTCTTGGTTTAAGATGGATGGGACCATCTTCTCATCTTTACTCTTCTTTTTGTAGCCTTTTGAAAAGGCAGAGCTAAAATAAAGACTGTTGGGAAATAGGAGAATTAGTGGGTCTTGAAATCTCTCCATCTGTCACATGGCTCAGTTACGAAGGCAAGCCAGTTGACCATAGTACCCCATGCTGGTGTGCCCTGTGGCCAGCACTGGTTTTTAGAAGGTAATCTGGGTGCAGAGCCCTGCAGTGGAGGGGCAAGTGTAGGGACCAAGTGCTCGGAGGTTCCCCAGCCATCTCCACCTCAGAATCACCCCATCTGCTGTGGCTCTGGTGTGGTGGTGTGCCCTGCCAACCCTGCTCAAGCCCCTGGCACATCCCTGCTACCTACAGGACAATTTCACATTTGCCCGAGGACTGTGGTAACTGTCCCATTTACATTGTGGCTCATATTCACAAGTGAAGGAAGAATGTATGAAATAATGCTTATTCAGACAACTCATTCTGGTCTGTTCCATTCCAGTTTTTAGAGTGCTAATTAAACCCACTAAATTGTTTTCCCAGGCTAATGGGTCACAACTCAGTTTTAAAATAATGCTGTTTGAAGTCCCTCATTTTGGCATTTGAGACACTCTATGATCTTCCCCATTGCACCCTATTTTTTACTATTTTGCCAAAGAAAGTCATTCCCCAAGTAAGTTTCTATTGACTCCCTGTTGTGTAAACTCACCAAGTTTATTCCATCTCCTTCTGCCTTCAGTGCACCTTCCTTGCCCTTTTGAATCTCAGTTGAGTTGTCCCCAGCCTTAGCTCTAATGCCTCCCTTCTAGTAGGCTGGAGTGCCCTTAGTGTATTGTCACTGTAAATACATTTGTTTATAAATTATGTGTAACATTCGATCCAGATAACACACTGCCTGGTACTTGTCAATTAAATGATGTGGTTCTTTACCTTGTCTCCCCATGACAATTGAAAGTTCCTTGAAAGCAAGGCCTACCTTTGTTTCCTCTGCCCTCCATGGTGCTAAGCCCTTCACAGACCATCTTTAAACTGCTTGGTGACTCCTATGTTAGGTGTTCGATAGTTTCTTTTCCATACTAAGTGGTTATCACCTACCCGTTTGAAGCAGAATTATTTCTGGAGATAATTTTTGGGAGGGGGGATGTGAGATTAGTAAAGCCTGAAAAGAATTATTACTATTATTATGAGTCTGTAGACTTAGTTGAGTCCCTTCTTATCATGGTGAGCTTGTTTGGTTGAGTGGTCGATAGGAATCAATAATTTTGTTCATTTTATGTTCAGCCATATCAGCGGGAACAAGATTGGCTGGGAGAAGACAGGAAGCCACTCGGAGCCTCAGGCACGGGGAGACCCAGGAGACCAAACAAAGGTAGAAAGTCTGTCCTTTTTATTCTTTTAAGTTCTGGCTCTTTACCTATGTTGTATTAGTGATCGATTTAAAGAAGAGTCCTCTCTCTTTCTCTTTTGAGCATGGCGTCCAGTCATATAAACCTTTACACAGGGATGGGAAGAGAAGGAAGAGTTCAGAGCTGTGCCCGGCCTGCCTGTCGCCCAGCGTGGGGGCCACTGTGCACACCCCTCCCCGTGTATGCTCTCTGTGTGTCATCTTGGACACGGGGCTTAGAGCCTTCCTGAGCTCCTGCTTCGGTAGGGTTTTTGTGAGAATGAATTGGGAAAGCACCTGGATATGTACGTTAAAAATGGAAATCAATGAAATTTCATTTCCCCCCTTTTTTAATACTTCTACCTGTTAGTAGTGATCTCTAGAGATATCTTTTTAATTTGCAAAGCCATGTCTTCCACATGTGATCACCAAGAAGGGTCAGGTCTCCTGCTTTATTTACAGGATTGCCTGAATATCAGAAATTCATTTAAAACTTTTAAATGGTTTACTGTTGAATGATTGTCCTGCAAAAAAAAGCAGTGAACATGTTTCGTGGATACCTTTTATTTTTAAAGCACCTTCCAAAGCACTTTGAGTTGTTTTATGTCTATATTCTCGTGGAATGGAGTATAGAAAATACTAGTGAATTATATGAGTTATTCTTCTTAAGACTAAGTTTAGCACTTTTTATTTTAGAGGATAAAATTAAACACTTACATACCGTTATAAAGAATACATTTTGTTTAAAAACAGAAAAATTTATATGTCTCTAGAGTGGCACTAAATCAAGCAATAAGCAGTTCTTATTTCCAACGTTTATTCTGGTAAAGAACAAAAAAGTTTATTGTGCAAATAATAAGTGCTCTTGGGAACAATTCAGACTGTGCTAAAGCATCTCCCATCTTCCTTTCCTTTCCTCACCCCCACTGGCTCATGATAATCCATCACTAAATTAATAATTTGGGGTCTAGACTTTTCGTGTCCATACAGTTCATGTTTTTTTTTCCTTTTTGTCTTTTTTACTGACCGGTAACGGGATCGCAACCCTTGGTGTCGCGCCCGCCCCACACTCAGCCAGTGAGTGGGAACCGGTCTCCACATGGGATCCGAATCCTCGGCGGGAGCACCGCTGCGCTCCCAAGCGGCGCACTCTCCAGTGCGCCACCGGGCTGGCCCCATACAGTCCATGTTTTGATGGTTGGCTGTAACAGAATAGTGTTTCCACCTAACAGTATATCATGCACATCTATCTGTGTCACTATCTATAGATCTGAGCCATTGTTTTTAACGGGATAAGCTTTTTATTTTTTAACCTTTGAGTTTTGCTTGCCTATTATTAATTTGGGGCTTTTGGTGCCAACCACTGAGCTGTCGCAGGAAGCACCCTGTATTCTGAGCTGGGGCAGTGTGTGGCCTCGGGCTTCGGCCATGTAACCCCCCACATCTGCAGCCAGCCCAGCGATGACCACCGAGCAGCAACAAGAAGGGCTCCGGTTCCCGAGCTGGGGAGGTAGGAGGCGAGGGCTTTTGCCACACACCCCCTGACATCTGCACCCAGCGTGGCAATGACCAAGCCACTGCTGGAAGACCCCCGCTCTCCCCTCTGGGAATGTGGGGGGTGTCACAGTCCTCAATCCCACCCCTCCTCCTTCCTCCTTCTTCCATCACATTTCCTTCCCCTTTCCCCTCTCCCCCTCCCTCCCAACTGCTCTGCAACAACATCATAGAATGTAAAAAAAAAAAATTAATAAAAAAACCCCAAAAACACAAGTTACATGTGAAATAAATATATAAACAAAATGTAAAGTAAATGTATCAGTAAAATCTAAATAACAGGAAGATCCTTGCTACATTTGCCAAATAAACACAACACTATTTAAAAAAAAAATTGGGGCTTTGTAATGACTACAGAGAATGCTTGGGTTTGGGTTTCTGTTTGTTATTTGAATGCCAGCTGTGCCAGGGAAGAACAGGATCGAGCCAGGTGTGGGTTGGAACCCCAGTTCCGTGAATTAGTGGTCTTGTAACTGAGGTCAAATTACGTAGCCTCTGCAAGTGTTGGTTTTTTCATCTGTAGAGGGACTAGGCAAGATCTTGAGGAAAGCAGAAGCCCAGAGGAACAGAGCATGCGTGACAGTGCAGTTGCCAAGAGCCGAGGCCCCCGTGTGGGGCCTCTTCCTGAGGTGGCTCCTTCAGGCTTCTGCCCCTGTGCCCCCAGCCAGAGGGCACATGGGGATACACAGAGCCGCTGGGAGCATCAGGCCCAGTCTCTGGTGGCACAGTGGATGCCTATGGTGTTCTGGGAGTGAGGCTATCCAGGGAGGCGGATTGGATCGGAGCACTCTCTACCTCTCTTTAGGATGGCACGAAATCTGCTCTCTTCAGACAGGACTTGTCCTTGTACCCTCTGTGTTTGGCAAGTGGACAGGCACCTAGCACACTTTAACTTAGTGAAGATGTAACACACACTCGTTTTTCCTCCCTCCTACCCTTTGCTCTGTAGGCAGAAGGTTCGTCCACTGCCTCTTCGGGAAGCCAGCTAGCCGAAGGCAAGGGGAGCCAGATTGGCACTGTCCAGCCCATCCCGTGCCTCCTGTCGATGCCCACCAGGAACCACATGGACATCACCACACCTCCCCTGCCCCCCGTCGCGCCCGAGGTGCTGAGAGTGGCCGAGCACAGGCATAAGAAGGGGCTGATGTACCCCTACATCTTCCACGTCCTGACGAAGGTATTATCAGAGGATCCCTGGAGTGGCTTCTGTTATCTGACAGGTGGTCGTTCCTGTGGGTGTTTTGTCCTTTTGTCCTCTTTTGAATCCTTTTTCTATCTTTAAACTGTTTGAAACAAATTTTACTTTCTCATTTCTAAATTGAACAAAAGATGAAAATTTATACCTGTAAATACAACTTTAAAATACCTTGTGAAAAGTCTCACTTTCCCCTTCAATTTAGTATAAAATATTTTTGAAATTTTTAATGAAAATAATCACACATAACATTATTTAATGATTTGTAATTAATTTTTTAAATTTCAATTTCAGAATTTCTTAAACCATATGCTGTAATGTCAGGTTTAATTCTAATGTCAAGATATAGTATCTAATTTCTTTATTATTGTCCTTAGAAAATAATGTCTCCCCTTCTGAGTGGCTAATAGTGCTTCAATTATTCTGACTTGTTCATCTATCTCATTGAGTGCAATTTTAATAGTGCTAAAAGCAAACAAATGGAATATAGGATTTTCTTAACAATGTGCATGGTCAGAAAATGCAATTATCTTTTTATATAGTGATAATTTGCTTTATTAATGTCTTGCCAAATGTATGCTTCAATATATGCGTATAGATATAATATACATTTAATGTGACATTGTTTTTTAATCTTGCTATCTCAAATATATCTGTGCGTTTTTAAATTTCCTCAGTGCTGTGTAGTCTTTATGTTGGCACTTACAATCATAGACCCCCAATTTAACAAGTTATCTCAGTTATCAGATTTATCATGCAGAATTGGCTTATTATCATGTGTTATTAACACGTTTTTATCAATACTTATACCACCATATATAACCAGACTTTTTTCTATTTTCTGCAATCTATCTGTGGTTTATAAAATGGAGTCAGTAAATACAAAAGGCACTCCTATTCCACAGAACGCCCAAGGGGGACTTCAGCTGTTAATTGGCTCATCCAAATATTGCTTAATTTTATAAATTAAAGGACGTGAAGAATATTTAGCTAATACTATTTACTCAGCTCCTTTAATTTATTTTTTAGTTGTAATTGTCTCCAGATCTCATCTGTTATTTGATATGGGTATGCCTGTATTGTATCACTTTTCAGATTATGGTTGTAAGGTAAGCATTTTATTTTTCAGGTTCAACGTAAATTATAAAGGGTAAGTGAAAAGTTATGGAAGAGGATTTTGCTGAGTGTAAGGGACCAAAGTTTTGGGAAGACATCTTTCAAAATAAAGTGTAAAGACATAGCACCTGTTCCCTGTGGGGCTGGCTGTGACGTAAGGTCCCTGGAGCCACCTGCAGTGGTGTGAGGCCTAGATGGGTGGTCAGATCTGTACGAGGGCTGCAAACTGCACTGACAGTCTTCTTCAACAGTCAAGGAATTCAAGGGCAGATATTGATAAAATGACTGCGGTTGAGGAAAGTAAACTTAACTGTCTTTTCAGATTTTAAAATGCTACTTAAAATTTTTTGGTATATAGGGAAAAGTTTAGACTATAACGCATATTATCCTATGAGCTGAATAGCTCTGGTATTAAATTGTTCAGGCCAAGACATTTGCAGAGAGATGAAGCTTTATGGTGATGTAGAGAATTACCAAAGCATCATAACACTAAGAGAGGTATTCCCTAGAAGAACACAAGTAGCTAGCGGATTAGAAGTTGAAAGTACTGAGTACAAGGGGAAGACTGTTTTTGAAATTAAATTTATGTGAAAGAAAGGTAAATGTTACAAAATTATTATTAAAAGAATATATACCAATAGATTTAATAGACGTCGAAGATCATAAATGTATTTTTATGTTGTTATGAATGTCTGGAAATAAAATTCCTTGCAAACTATCTTGAGATATATCTTGATGCCATAAAATACCCAAGACAGGTAACCACAGGATTTTGGCAGTGATCTCAGCTGCTGAAGGCCACCATCAGTCATTTATCTCTTGGTAGCATGTTCTTGAGCCACAGGAAGTTCTTGCCATGTTGGCCCTGGAGCGTGAACAGGGTGGGGTGCTTTCATTTTTTGCCATAGCAGCTCTTGGTGTCCTTACCTGCCGTAGACTTGAACACCTGCCGCACTATGGCAGAAGCCTAATACACATTTAAAATGGAGAAATCTCTTAGGTAGATCATCTTCAATATGTGGTAAATTTTTATGGAAGACCTTGGTAAAGAAAATTTGACCATTTTATTTTCAGTATAATCAGTTTTTGGATTGCATATAGGTCAGTGAAAATTACAAATTTTGTTAAATGACCATTCTGACTCTCTAAATAAAAGTTGCAGTTTCTCAACATTTTCTATGGTTTTTGTTATCTGATGTTATCTGTCTAGACTGTTTCAAAGACTTTGGATTATCTATGTGGTTTTCTTTTGTTCTTGGCTTCAGATTAAAAATAAAATAATGTAGATTTTATTTTGATTCTTCGAACATATTTTTTGACCACAGCCTGCCAAATGAATTCTTCCTAAACATCTTGATGTAGGCAAGTCATTAAGCAATTGATTTGGAATAGAATTGCAATGTCATAACTGGAGATAATACAGTATATTTCTGTGAGTTTATTGTAAATTCAACATGAAAAATGTGCAATATTATTCTGCTTTCTTCCATGCAAAGGGTGAAATCAAAATTGCTGTTTCTATTGAAGATGAAGCCAACAAAGACCTGCCTCCGGCCGCCCTGCTCTATAGGCCAGTTCGTCAGTATGTTTACGGAGTCCTGTTTAGTTTGGCAGAAAGCAGAAAGAAAACTGAGAGACTTGCTTTTAGAAAGAACAGACTTCCACCAGAATGTATGTACTGTAAAAATCCATTGTTTGTTTTCCTCGGTACTTCGTAATCTCTTGTGCATTTTCTAAAACATTAGAAGAATCATGACTGAGTTGACCCAAGTGCCTCCATGTAAAGGAGGTGGGCTGTCATCGGGGGTAGTAGGCCAGGCTAGAGGCTCTTAGAAAAGGAGGAGAAGCACAGACTTTCTTCCTCAGTAACGTGCCAGTTATGATGTTTATTCAGTAAAATAATAAAACAGCAGGTTTACACTTTAAACTGAATGTTGATCTGAAAACAGTCTTGAATTGCCATACACTCTGTAATTACCATATCTTAGTAATCAGGACAAGTGTGTGTCTGTGCTCTCGTCTTTATGAGGTGCAGATCTGTTCTCTCCAGATGTCCTGTGTTCTGGAGAAAAGTTTTAACAGGTCTCTGTGAGCTACTTATGTGCTCCTGGAGTGCCACTGTGCACAGCTCTGCGGCGATAGAGGTGGCCATGGGACCCAAGTGGATCATCGCAGGATTGTAGCGATTGACCTCGGAGTCCTGTGCGATGGTTTGTCCATGCAGCGGCAACTTTGGGATGCAGGGTGAAGGCGGAAAGTATTGTGTGAAATGTTGGTCAAAGTTAAGGTCAAAAGCATCTCCCTTCATATTCTAGCAGGCCTGTGTAATATTTTGGGAAAGCCATGCTTTTCTATTCTAGGTAATTTTATCTCTTGATGTAAGGAATATAAAAGTCACTGTATATTTACTAGGAAATATGGAAAACGTCCCCCAAACATAGTCTAAAATAAGAATACTGTGAATTCTGGAAATTGTTAAGTACTAGATCATGCTTTACACCAGGGGTGTTAAGTTCTAGATTCCCTGCCTATATGGTGGGTCAGTGTGGGCCTTGTGAGATGGTGAGGCCCATTGTCAGCACCCACTGACTATGTACTCTGAGCTGTGGAACCTTAAACTACATTCAGGAGGTTCTTAAATTTTCTGTTTGCAATTACTATGACAAAATTGAAGTCTGCAGGGCTTTCAGATGAGGTGCCTCTTGCCACCCTTCCCTGGAGGTGGTTGTACTGAGAGTGCTTGTGTGGCTGGTGCTGACAGAGCGCCCCATGTTCCCCCTCTGTGTCCTTGATGACTGAAGATTCCATCTGGAACACTGAGTATTGTATATGACATTCTTCTCAAAGGTCCAGGACATGCTTAAATGTACATATTCTCATTATTTTCTCACATTGTGTGATTCATTTGCTCACAAGGAACATTTCCTACTTTGCACATAGCCAGTCACTTGGCCCACCCTGTCACTGCCCTTCAGTTCTCCTATGGCTTGACTGGGCTCTGAAGGCTGCTTTGCTCTGTTGGTCCTTCTCCTGGGCCTGGCATGCCTGTGTTGCAGGCCCTGTGCAGTCCCATCTTCTGTGACGTCTAGGCTGCTGCAGCCCCTTTGTCTTTACTTTGAAGCACTGTGCTGGCTTTGTGGTAGAAGGTATTCTATTTTTATTCATTTGCTTACGTGTTCCAAGAACAGAGTTACTTTTACACAGCAAACTCCTCAAGGAGTTTCCGTTGTTCACCACCCCAGGTTAAATATGAATGGACTCCGTGGCCTCTGTGCCATCCTGTGGGGTTGGATGTGACTTTCCCTGTTTCCTCCAGTTTCAGGACTTCTGCATCGTAGGTGTGCCACGGTGCCCCATGTGCTCAGAAAGCAGAGTCTTGACCCCTCATGCCCTGTTTCAGGTCAGTGGCTCTCATGACTTATGGTGCTTCCCATGAGGGAGCAAGCCTGTTTTGTGCCTGGGGGAGGCCATCCAGTAGGGAAGGCAGTAGAGAAGGCAGGGGAGGGAAGGGGCGTAATAACTTCGTATAGCATACATTATACGAAGTTACCTTCTCCTGGGCCTGGCATGCCTGTGTTGCAGGCCCTGTGCAGTCCCATCTTCTGTGACGTCTAGGCTGCTGCAGCCCCTTTGTCTTTACTTTGAAGCACTGTGCTGGCTTTGTGGTAGAAGGTATTCTATTTTTATTCATTTGCTTACGTGTTCCAAGAACAGAGTTACTTTTACACAGCAAACTCCTCAAGGAGTTTCCGTTGTTCACCACCCCAGGTTAAATATGAATGGACTCCGTGGCCTCTGTGCCATCCTGTGGGGTTGGATGTGACTTTCCCTGTTTCCTCCAGTTTCAGGACTTCTGCATCGTAGGTGTGCCACGGTGCCCCATGTGCTCAGAAAGCAGAGTCTTGACCCCTCATGCCCTGTTTCAGGTCAGTGGCTCTCATGACTTATGGTGCTTCCCATGAGGGAGCAAGCCTGTTTTGTGCCTGGGGGAGGCCATCCAGTAGGGAAGGCAGTAGAGAAGGCAGGGGAGGGAAGGGGGGAGGGAAGGCGGGGGAGGGAAAGTGGGGGAGGGAGAGGGAGGGAAGGCCTTCTGAGGGTCGAAGTACATAGAGCTTGTGGGACAGAAGGAGTTGCTGGTAGCCAGGCAGGACCATGGCTTTAGGGGGGTTAGTCTGTCCCTGACCCTGTTGTAAGCAGGCAACTCCAGCTGGGGTCAGAGGTCACAAGAGTGGCTCCATCAAGGGAAGAAAAGTCAAGAAGGGTTGGGGAAGTCTGGGATGACTCAGGCCTCAGATGTGGGTGCCATTCATTTAAGTGGAGGTTGAAAGGGACCACAAAAGGGGCTGGAGGCAGCAGGCTGCTCCAAGTCTCTTCAGACTTGGCTGAGATGGCCAGGAGAAGGCGGTAGCTTCAGAGTGAGAATTTGTCAGGGGTTGTGGTTTTCCCTTCCTTCCCCCCACCCACCCCACCCTTCTAAGGATGGAAGACTGAATAATTTGGTGATTATTGTGTTATTTTTTTGACCAATGAGATGGATTTAGTTGGTGAGAGATAAGATGAGTGTATCAGAGAGAATAGGAAAAAATGAGGAGGTTCTGGATAAGGAGGTGGTGGTAGTCGGGTTCGGTGGGAGGGAGGAAAAGAGGAAGGAGTCCATGTCTGGAGCCACCTTTCTTGGTGAAGGCAGGAAGAATTGAGAGTAAGGACATCTCAGGTTTAGTTTGAGAGTGTGAGCCAACTAGCTTAGTACTTTTAAATGGTAAATGAGGTTTTAAAAGTGATTTTATAAACATTTATGTCTATTACTGTTGTATGTGTTACTCTCAGAGGAATGTCTAGCAGGCAATGAAAAGTGAATGAATAATTAATACAGATACATGGCTTACTGGAGACGCAGGTCTGAAGTTTGGTGTGTGAGTGTGTGCATAGTCGCTGGGGCTCTTTGAAAGGTCAGTGCTAAACAAATTGCAGCCTTTTCTGCTCAGGTGATTTATGAACTTCAGTTTTGACTATTCCATAGAGATGGAAGAGCCATTGAAGCTTTGGCATAATTGATGTTTCTGTTTAGATAGATGCATTGGATAGTGATGTGTGGACTGAACTGAAACAGAGATGAAGCCTTTAAATGGGAAGGAAAGGGGAGGTTCAGATTAGCCTCACCTAACCAGGGTTAATTACACCCCTGGAATTTAAACGTTTAGAGAAAAGTATTATTAATGTGTTATGACAAGTATATTTCTGAATGGAAAAGGTGTGTAAATTTGGCCTCTGAGTTTAAAAGTTGAGAGACAATTAGTACTGTAATTTCAGTGGGTGATATTTTTATGAGCAACTCTAGCATCTAGGTCTTTATGGGGAGCTGATAAAATTGAGCCTGTTTCAGGCATTAGTTACATTCCTGAGGGGAAAACAAGTCTGTAACAAAGGTTTTTATGTTAGTAGTACATACATCCCAGCTGATTATCACTCTAATTGGAACACTGCCTCTCCACAAGGGAAACTTTTGTGCTGAGAATCTCTTGTGATTGCTGGGCCTGAATTCTCTCAACTTGCTCACATGCACGGCGTGATCTTCTCACGCACATGGACAGCACATGCACTGACATGCCTCCCTTCCAACTTGTTCTTAGACTTCAGCTGACTAAATGCAGGCTCTGCTCAAGCCATGGGTTTAGGCCTCATTACTTGAAATACCTATTAATCCATTACACATTTTAGTATTATTAAGGAGAATGCTGTAGCTTCTTGACACTCTGAATGTGATGGGAAAATGTCTGATCATGCTGCAGTGAAGCTGACTTGAAATGTTTCTCAGGAATTCTTGGGTGACAGGATGGAACTACGATTGATGATTGTATTTGAGTCTTGTTGATATGTGCTGTTTAACCTGTGGTCACTCTTGGGCCACATGTACGTTAAATGAAATCCTTGGCACAGTAGAAGGAGAGCCAGAAGCCACAGAAAGAGTCCTGGGCAGGCAGGTCCCTGTGAGGGATTGCTCTTAACACCCTTGGCTTTCCTTTGTGGTCTGGCCATAGAGGCCTCCGCAGGTGGGCTCCACAGTGAGCCTGCCACTCAAGCAGCGGTGCAGCCGTTTTTGAATGAGAGGGTTGTGTTCTAAAGTAGCTTCAAGATCTGATGTATGCAAGTGTATGATCCTGTTAATGGTCACTGGAACAATAAAGAATTGCCTAAGACAGCTGCCTTATTATCAGAGAGAACTATTCGAAGGGCATAATGAAGTCATGAGGGTCATTTAAAAATATTTTACTCTCACTAGATTTAAGACATGTACTCATTTCAAAATCTAGTCTTGAAGTGTTCATAATTTACAGTTAGTCATCATGTGACTTACCAAAGTTTCATTTTTAAAGTCGTTGTATGGTTAAAGTAGGATATCAGACTCTTAGAAAATCCCAGCCTTTTGAAAGTCATGTTGAATTACGTGCTGGCAGTTTGTTTTTTACTCCTCTCTGTTCGTCCCTAGGGTCTATTAAGAAATACATCAGAAATCACTTATTGTAGCAGTGTGCTCTGTGGAATTCTCAGTCTTCCCAGTGGGGCGTGCTCAAGAGAGCCGTTGACACCAGCTGCTGACTGGTTCCCATAGATGTGACAGGCGGTGACAGTAGCAGCTGCTGTTGGGGGTGAGGGGTGAAGCCTCATCAGAA